GTAAACATATTTTTTAAATATAATAAATAGCAACTAATTATCAAACGCATTATCTTTTCATTTTGTCTACCGTACCAACCCGGTCACAACACTTGCTTATAAATTAAGAGTATTGATAAATTAAAAAAAAATAATTACGTAAATTTATGCGTATGGTCATAATTTATTTTATATTTTATTTATTTATTTATTTATTTGAATAAACGCCTATTAGGCTCAAGTACAGGTTAATAACACAATTTATATAATAACGTAATCACAATATAATTGAGGTATAAAAATAAAGGTAAAGGTATATAAGATCATAAGACATAAGATCAACAATACAAAATAAATGAGTTTAATTATTATTAATCGGGCAGATTAATAATTTAATTAATGACGTTATAGATTAAATAGATTATTTATTTATTTATAACATTTTATACAGGCAAAGCCTAAAAATATTTATAACTGTCATTGTTTGCGCCAAGCGTGAGAGCTGCACTGGTTGGGTATGGTCAGCTGGTAGTGCTTGTGCGCCATCAGCTGTTAGGACACCTTATCAGCGCCTGTATTGTTTNCAGCTGTTAGGACACCTTATCAGCGCCTGTATTGTTTAGTCGTTTTTTATTCAAAAAAGAAATATATGTACCTGTTGTATTATACAGCTTTAGTTTAAGTTACGTTGGTTTTTCATTTAAATGAATTGTTGTTTTTGTATGAATCAGTAAAAACTTTGTTCAAATTTTGGTTTTAAAATATATTATTCATATTATTATTTTGAGGACATATAGTTGTTTTCATTTTTCCCTTTTTTCTTTTATATTGCCTGGTGCATTGTTCCAGTGAAATTACAGATATTGTCTTATTGTTATAAATTGTAATTCACGTTATTCATATAGAGCATAGCTGCATGTAAGTAGTATGGAGTATTATATTTATGGATTATTCGGTTCGATAATGGTAGGTACAATTGTTCGTATTTAATTATTTAGTTGTATTCATTGGTCTGGGTAAGTTTATTTTGTGTTGACAAAAAATATTTTTCTTTTAGCAATTTTAAATTGATTAGAAACTTTTTTTGTTGATTATTAGTTGCCTCTATTTTAAGCCGTACGGCTGAGTTCTATTCCCCATTTTTATTTTGAATATTTTAGAACAGCCCAGGCGGCAACAGTCATCATAAACATCATTATTAAAAATTAGTGAGAAACAAGTAAAAAAAGAAAATTTATGTATACATTGATCCAAAATACAAATTAAGATAACATAAACCAAGGCGGAAAGGTAAAATAATGAGCAAATTTCATGGGAACAAAAGTAAGGATAAAAGAATGTAAGGCATCTAGGAAAGTGTCCATAGCGTCATCCATATCAATTTTTTGTACACCAAATGGAGAGTCTATTTAAATCTTCTTGTAATATCTGATTATCTTCTATAAGAGTTATAGTTTAATACAGTTTGACGTCATCGACAAAATATTGATATTTATAATATTTAAAACAAATGTCTATATCAAATAAATATATTAAAAATAACCAAGGGGACAAGTGTCCACCTTAGGGTACACCCGATGTAATACAAATTTTAGATATATATCTGATACAGATAACTGAAATTGAAGAATATCAACCAACTTGGATGTAGAAATGTTATAATTATTTACGTTAATTTGTGTGGTTGAGTAGACTGAAATAAAGAATTCACTAAATAAATTACATAATGTGAACCATTGTTTTTCGGAATATTATTATATACCATTTCAGTTGGAATATTGTTATCTTATTTTTGACTTTTTATATAGTTCCAGAATGATTTTGGGTTATGAGTAAAGTTGGATTGTAATTTTTTCATATAGAATGTATAATTTTATTTAGCCTCTCGTTTACTTAAAGCTCGTAATCTTGAGAATTCATAATAAAACTTAATAATATTAGTTTGCTTATATAATTTGTGGTTAATTTTTTTCATGTATTAATTTTTTTAGTTTATTGCTATACCATTTAGGAAAAGTGTGTGTATTTACACTCGATTTAGATACAAATTTATTGATTGTATCAAATAATATTTCTTAAAAAGTGTTGACAGCTAAGGAAAAATTAGGTTTATTTAAGAGAATACTATATAAGTTTAATGAGCATAAATAAGTGTTCATTGCAACATAATTTCCACGAGAGA